CCTTGCCCGACACGTTCTTCGCCTCGTTGTCCAACTTCACCCTGAAATAGTCCACTCCCCGGCCGCCCGTGTTCGGACTCTTCCAGTGCACCCTGACGTCGTATCTGCTGCTGCCCTCGTGAGTGCTGCTGCGCGTCGATAGCGCCTCGGACAGCTTCACGTCGAACGGTTTTCCCGGGGCTACGCGACAACGCAATATTTTTTATGAGCGTATATTATGACGTAGGTACATGGGTAATAATATTATGTTACCACGGAATAAATGAAATGCGGTATTGCCGGTGCGCAATGTGCGCATATACGTGCATATACGATAGTTTATTGATCGATGTGTATCGAGGGCGCCCATATGACGAAGCAAGCGGGGGGGGATATGTCACCCCCCGTGGAAAACGTTGAAAAATTGCTTACACGAGATCTATACAATATATAAGATAGACTTGACGGACTATGCGCGATAATTAGTGTACACGGGGAAAAATTGATGATAAAACGAATGAATACACAGAACAAGTAATAAATTACGTATAATATGTTTGGTGTTAAAAAAATAAATTTACAATTTTTATTTGTAAATCAATATTTTAATAAATTTACGTTATTAATCAAATGAAAATCCAATAAATTACTTTCATGGTTAATTGGTTAAATAATTATTATTTCATATAATTTTTCAGTTTGATATATATAAAATATAATAGTACAATGTTAAATTGTAAACCCCTTCCTATCTCATGGACATAATTAAAATTTTGTACCCCCTTTTGAGAATTTTTCTATGGACGCCCTTGATATATATGTTACGGGCAAAGTACCTACTCGTAGACTATCGGGAAATATTTACGTACTGCCCGCGATTTTGATGGGTAATGTAGACAAAATTATACTTTGCCCGGGCCGTATAGAATTGCCCAGTCTGAGTTGGGCTTTGTAAGTCAATTCGCTTGAATTATTAAATTTACAACTGACCCTGTTCTTACAGCGGTTATTTTATTTATTCTACTATCTATTTTTTCTTCGATCAATGTCTCATCAAATTCACAATGGTTTCCAGTATTCATTGATGTTATAGTCTATAGTCGTTTTTAAATCTTCTACTACATCCAAACATTACTTCTATACTCTCATACCAATTACTTTATAAAATATAATTATAAAAGTGCGTATATAATTCCATGTATATATTTCGTACTAAATTGACTGAAACATAGTACCTTCTCGCTATATCTACTTTTTCTTAACTGTTTAACACATAAAAAAAAATGGCATTTTTTATTTTAAGCCAGAAAAATTATTTAATATAGGTATATATATAGTGCCGGTTCATCAGAGATGTTAGCGAACTGCATTGATTATAACGTCGAGGGAAATCCTAGCACGTATGACAGATAGACGGAAAATATTTTGTTCCCAAATTGAGCTTTGTATTCCGCTATACTGATTAATAACGAACTATGTATGTTGTTGTTGTATACGATGTAGTAGGTAACTTAATATCTCTAAATGGTCTAAATGTAAAAACCGAAAAATAAAAACTAATCATTTATATATAGGTTAGCAGTATACGTGTGTTGCTATCGTTGAAATGAAACGTATTTTTAAAAGGGAGAGCGCATATTGTCACAAGAAATCGTCCTGTATTTTATGTCGTATGTAAAGTGTATATACTTACGGCACAAGTCCAACATGTTGAATTTGTTGATTTCCTGACACGACGGCGTCGTGAATTTGAATTCCACTGGGTTGCCAGTGACGATCAACGACTTATTTCTATAGTACGATTGTACAAAAACTGTATATTCCATGTCCACAGTCAAACTGTTTAATTTGACAGAATTCGATTCTCTGATGTCCACAATATGAGATTTCAATCTTTCGCTTAAATCGTTCGGGTGATAAACGATTTTGTGACGACAATTCATGTCTATAATCATTTCGAATAACTCGTATATAAGAATGCAATTTGACCTTCACTGGAAAAAGTATTTCTATATTTTATTGCTCGTAGGCCAAGTTTGGTAAAGTATCCGTCATCCGGGTATACAATTTTTGATAGAACATGAAAGACAAGGAAACGATGCGAGGTTCAATAGCTGTTTCATAAACTTATAAGTTATATTTATGTAGGTATAGGGATGTCCGAATGTAGAAAACAAATTGTTTACCCAGACAATTATATTTTTATTTTCATAGTTGGTACTTTTTATTGTATCAAAGAGACAATATTCAAATGACATTATATCATACATTATACCTGTAGATTACATTTAACTATAGGTATAACATATTGTCTATCTATAGGTTTTAGATTATAATATAGATAGATACTTCTAAATCTATAACTAAATTATTTTTTATTACATTTTATAAAACAAAGATTTTTTCTTATGTTCGGTGGAATCTCGGAAACTATCGGATAGATTCGAACGGGGATTTTTCATTTTGAAGAACACATTACAATCATAGTGGTTTACTGTTATTGTTTTAACTTCTTTTCATGGAATATTGAACGATTAAATAGGAATAAATTAGCAACTATATCTGTTCAACAATAAATTTGAAAAAATAGTAAAACGTTTCGTTGGTAAAGTTGGGTAATATAACTGCCAATATTCAATTTTTTCAGTTAATTTTAAAATAATGACTATACATTTTTTTTAAAAAGGTCAATATACCATTAAACTGAACTATTTCACTAACACCTCGATACAATTAAACGATTAAACCACTATTATAGATGCTTTAAGTATTCAAATTAAGTAGATTCTTGGGGGGGGGCTGTGCTTCCCACACGCCTATTTAAATCTATAAAATATATTACTTTGTTGTATACTATATAACTTAGGTATATTTATCATTTTTTGTCACCTACTTTCCCACATTTATTACATTTTGTATTAAAATACATCTTTTATTAAAATAAAAAATATTTTGATAAAACAAATAATATAATTTATAGGTTCTTCTATGTATATTTTATAAATGTAACCGTAAATTCAAAATTGTATATAGTGTTCTAACTTCTAAGTATATAAAACTATTAGATATTATACTCGTTATTATATTATTCAGCGTATATATATCCATTATCGTTATATATATATATTATATTCGTAATTATTAATAAAATAATAAGCCTCGTAATAGGTTTTTGTATACCTACAGCTCGCATAGTTTTATATTATTATTTATTTATGTTGTGCATATACCATTCGATGGCGTCCAGGCCAGTGTCATGTTTATTGTAGAATTGATAGCCACGGTAAAGTTGGAAATTTTAATTGTGTGCACCGAGCCTAAAATTTTTCCATCGTCCAATGTCTTGTAGATCGGTGTATCCATTATATGATATGTAGTACCGTTGACCAGCTTTCGGAATCTAGCAGCGTATTCGGTATTGGGCTTTAGATTGTTAAGACGAATGTACGACGAATTCATCTGGTAAATGTATAGTATAAAATATATATACATATATAGGTATACGTAGTAACCAGAAATCGAAACAGAAATTTTTAAAGTATAAGTAGACAGTAGACTTGCTCAAAATATAGAAAATAATATAAATATATATGAATTCATAGTACTAATATATTGCAATGTTTTAAAAATATTTAAAAAAATTCAACTTTATAAAAAAAGTCTATCGTATGGGTGTTTGGTCTTTTATTCTATTTCTAAAATATGTCTAGCTGTCCTTTATCTAAGTAGTAAATTCTAATTTTTATAGTTATTATTTATATTAAATATTAACCTTTAACTCTTATTAGTAAATATTATTAAGCCTATTGTGCTAGCAGTGAATAAAATAATACATTTTATTCTTAAATAAGGCCAAGAAAAAACTATGAAGGCCCAATACTTAGGGGATTGACCATTGTCCACAAATAAATCTGATTGCTATGCTACAATGGTAAATCATACTATACATACTTAATGCATACATATTACGCTATATGTATCATTGAATTATTACCATAATTTCAGTGGGTATATTATGTAAGTAATAGGTATATATGACAATTTCGACATTAAAACAACATAACCATACTTATTAATTTACTTGCTTCATTTTATAATAAAATATAATATAATGTAATTTCCTCAACTCCGACCATTATATTATCAGTGTTTTGATTCATTACAATTAAGCTGCAGGTTTAGTTGCTATTTTTCTTTTTCTTCTATTATTTTTGAATTTTAATAATTTATGATGATTCTTTTGTTTTATATTTTTTAAGGATTACTTAACGAAAATAAATAAGGATGCATAAATATATGCATATATATTTAATATGTAACTGTTGATTGTTATTTTAAAAGTAGAAAATTGTATTAAATTCAAAGCTTTACGTAAAATTAAAATAATTTAAAATACCTCCAATATCAAATGCATGTCCAGTTTATCGTGTGATATCAATTCCACAATTATTTTGGCACCATCAATTTTATTATTCGAAGTCCAAATGTATGCTAATGAATCAAATTCACGGCACAATAACCGCACATTGTCTAACATATTTATGTCATCTGGAAATTGGAATATATACATTTTATATTGTAGTAATATAAAATATTAAACATAGACGGTTGTATGGTTATATTTTAAAATAGTGAACTATTTTTATTCCAAGAAGTAGGTATTACATTTTTATGAACTTTTCCTTTCAAAAAATTAAATGTATATGCAATTCTAACATATTTTTTCATCTTAATAAACCATTAAGTTTTTGGCGAAACTGTGTACTATATAAAATATAATAACAACTTTTTAATGATAACCTACATTTTTTTTATTATCTAAAACTAAATATCTAAGTAAAAAAATGAATGTATGTGTAAAAGTAGGTATAGGTTTATTATTGGATATTGAACGAATTCTTATTTAATAATAAATAACCTTTGTTATTTATTGATTAGTAGAGTGAAGTGGAATTGGATAATTAGCAAAAATTGTATTCTAAAACTTTATTGCCTATATCTGTCTGAACTTTGTATAATTAAATGTACTTAAATTCATACATTTTATCAAATAAATAATTTAATTAATATAAATACCTCTTATTGGCTGCGTATCATTGCATGCGATATTTTCCTGAAAAAATAAAAATAAAATTCCTTTTGCATTATATTTTTATTTTTCACAGTATAGTCAGCTATAATTGTCATAAATTTTAGTTTGCATTTAAATTATTTTATAAATTATTGGGTATATAATATATAAAAAAAAATAACACATGTATTAATAACTAAATAGTAAATATTATGATCTCGAAGAACGAGTCTTAACCTCAAATACTTAACTATCTATCATATATTTATGAATTTACAACATTTTATATATATATGATAAATTTTTTTTTATTAAAAATCTATTTGTTAGTGTTTTGTTTTTACATAATTTAAAAAAGTTCATTATGGACTATAATAGTCTATACTATAAAAACCAAACAAAAGCATAAAAACTAAATTCTTACTAATTTCAGAAATTAGTTAATTGAAATATTTGTAAGGTTGTATTAGATAATATAAAATTCAGAATTTAGTAGTATAATTGGGCTAAATTCAAGATTTTCAGACAGTCGATTATTTTAGGAAGTATAAACGATTTATATAAAACATCGATGTTGTCACTTTTAAATGGATAGGTAGTTAATAATAGAGACACAAAAATTTATTATACTGAAAAGGTTACGAAAGTTTAAAAAATAAAAATAATCTTAAGCCGTTTAGTAGCTAATTAAGTATTAAATAAATATTAAATTTTATATAGACTATATGAATTATTATTAATAATTTATCGAATGCAGTTATGACTTTTTTTTGAAATGATCAAGTCTACTATTTTTAAGTATTTTTATGTCTGAATAAACAATTCATTATAATGATAATAGCATAATATATAATATAATATTTTATTTATTACAAATAATGTTTACTAAATATTTATTAAATGACAATATAATACATATATACTCAGTGAAAATGTATATACCTATTATAAAATTAAGTAGGTATTACATGAATTATAGGTAGTTAATACTGTACTAGGCATAAGTGGTATAAGCATGACAAACCAATATATTGGGATTTAACTATTGATAGTATCTATATTGTGTATAATTGTACATGAACACTATACCACGGTTTTTGATTTAGAACATGCAATACTTAGTAAGTAATTTCACTCAAAACCTATTAAGTTTTTAAAAGAGGATAGGAACGAAAATATTTTGGAGACATTTAATGTTTTAACGTGAATTTTATCATTTAATTGTTTTAATGGTCTAAGACAAAATACAAAATGTTGTAGACTTGTAAATAATAGATACCTACTTATTATACATTGTACAATGTGTAGATAAATTTGACAGTGAATTTAATCCACTATGCAAATATTGATTGGATATATACAATACGTGATTTATTGACGTATAGATAAAAAGTAGGTAGGTACACACACTATTACCTAGTTCTTATATAATGTTAAATATTTGGTTTAATTTTTTTATATTACAATAAGTGTATGTAAACAAGATATATTGTGTAATAAAAATATAAATTTTAAATTTATTTATTTGAAATTCAAATTTGGTATGAACAAATTCAAAGAAAATTCGATAAACATTATGTTTTTTTAGTATAGTTGTATTATAAATCACGATAAGCCACAGAGTACGTAGGCATGCATATATTATAACTTATAAGGTATAACTTAGGTATAAATATACAATATACATAAAACTATTTGTAAAAAATGATAATGTATAAGCATAGATATATAAGCACAGTCTTTAAACAAGTAAACAGCGTATTTGCAGCAACGCAGTAAAGGCATGGTTTAAAAGCTAAGGCAACAAGGCGTATATAAATACGTCAAGGAACAGTATTGTTTTCTATACTTTGAAGTTCGAGGCCAACTATAACAACATGTCAATTTTTCCAATAATAAAATACCTACTCATAAGTCATAATAGAGTGTAAATAAATAAAAGTGAACGAATATTTACGCGTGTACCTATCCAATAACCAGATGCATAATCGTATGGCCTGCAGCTGCAGGTACCAATACAGACAATATAGTAACTATACAACATATTAAGATACAGAAACATATACAGTGTATACTGTATAGCAGGGGTCACCAATTATTATTTTTAAAGGACTATATTAGGAATCTGAACATTTTTCAAAGTTCAAAGTACAAATTTTTAACACATAATAGTTAATAGGTATTATTTTAAAATTAGATGTAATGAGAACAATATTTTTTAAATTTATTATTTACTATTGTTTATACACGTTAAGAAATATAATTATTGTAAGATGAAAAATTTAAATTAAATAATTATAAATACTACTGTACATTATAATACATTTAATTTTATTCGTTATAATTCTTTTTATTCTTTGTCTCGAACAGAGTGAATGGCCACGGTCATATTTGGTGACTTCCTACTGATATATACATCATAATTTATAATGTCATGGGACTATTCATGATATTGGTAATTTGGCTATTTTTAAGTTAATTACCTAATAATAATGTTGTAAATGAGTAAAATTAATCATAAAGTTATAATACTTCTATAATTAGGTATATATGATCATGTGTTCAAATTATTATAATTGTATAACAAATATATGTTTACAAACGTTAAATCTGTTCAAATTGTCAGTCATTTTCTAATTTTTATAAATTATAAAAATAATTATAAACTCTACAAAGGTATCCCTGCAGCTATATCAAAATATATTAGTGATTACCATCGTCATATACATTAAATGTATAATACCATTATTATTGTACATTTGCATATGCAAGTTCAAACACAAAAGCTTACGACGTAAAAGATTTTCAGGACTCCACTCAATCTAAAGTGGTATGCGGCATTATTATATCTGAGCAATTTATGATTAATTTATATCACACATCAAACTCTACGCTATCTATGTTGTCACTATAAAAACAGCGTACGTACTAAAGCCGAGTTCATTGTGCCATGTTGTTTGTCGACCGTCGCCATGTCCAAGAGCAGCCTGATCTTCAATGTCTAACTTTTATTTCCGGTAGATAGTTACCAAAAATATCAGCAATACGTAACTGAACGAAGTGGCCACCA